GTAAGTTTAAAGGGGTCTGCGGGCCGATGCTGACCTCGCCGTGTAGATACGTGCATCACCGTGGCTGTGCATCTGGGTCGGTGTGCAGAGACCCTCCACTAACCAGACAATGGCACACAGTCATGTTTAATGATCTGGGAGCCGTCCAGACTGAACTTTGCATGGTCATTCCGGGGTATTTGTATTTTAATGCCCTACAGACTCTCCCGTTTGTGCAATGCAACGCGAGATGGAGGAGATGGAGGAGGAGATGCTTTCTTCAGCCTGTTGCCCGGTGACAGGCTTGTTTCGGAAAAATGGCCCGGCTCAGTTTTCTAAAGCCCACGGAGATGTTCTGGTTCAACAAGCGGCTCAAAAAGACGCTTTATTGTAGCCGGTGTTTCTGGAAAGGTGTGATGCACAGTGTATTGCAGGAAACCTCTATTTGCCTCCAAGTGTGTTCTTAGTGATATTCTTTATTCATGAGGACGCCACCCTGCTGCAAATCCTCCCGCTTTACTAAACTCTCTCCCGTGATTGAAACGTAGCCGACGCCGTGTTCAAATCTCATTGTGACTTCCCAAGTTCAGGGGCTCACTCCCAATGAAGATCTGGGACATTGCAGGATTATCCCTGGAGGGATTTTGTTTTGCAGAGAGCAGCAGACGGTCTGAGGGGGAGGCCGGTGTACCCCAGGGGGGGTTCAGACACCACCTCTTGTAACATTTGGTGTGAGTGGGAGCCCGGCACCGACGGGGGGAGGGCGCCGCCAACTGACCAGCTTCTCTGCAGACATTTTGTCACCTCAATAGCAGCAGGAAAAGTGCAGGTGTAATCAATGACATAAAAAATTGCCATGATTTGTTGACTATAGACCATAGAGGGTGGAAAACGGCCGTGATGTACAGGCGTTGTGTGATCATTACAACAGGCACCTGTCAAATCATCAAGTTGTTTTTGGAATCTTTGCTGTGCACAAACGTTAATACGTATGTGGAGTCAAAGTTGTCCTGAAGCCGTTCCTGACGTCTTAAAATATCTCCTTATAGTTATTTTTTATGATCATATGATCATAAAAAAGTGAATCTTTTAAATGTATATGACTGTATAAAACAAAAAGATTCTGGGTTTAAGTCAATGATTTATTCCATGTTAGTTTTTCCTGAGCCTTTTAAGTCGGCGAGTAGTCGAACCGGTATCCAGGCGAGATGGTGAATAAAGAAGTCTTGCGTCTTCATGATTGAATAAAGCCTCCCAGTTGAGTTTTTCACATGTTGGAGCACTCTGGTGTCCTGGTGGGGGTTAGATGGCTCTATTGGCCTGTGGCATGGATTATTGCTGCCGTAAAGTGCTATACTTTACACAGAGTGAAAGCACAGAGACACACACACACCCCTGATGCTGAAACACAACCTGAGAGGCCTTTTCCCCTCCGACTGCCCGCCACCACGAGAATCTGCTGACTTGGCAAAAAGCCTTCTGATGGATGACTGGGTCGAGCAGATGCCTGAGTGCTGCAGCTCTGAATTACGTGCTGCGTGGCCAAATAGTTGTGACTGAGGCTCTAACATTCACGTTGCCGTCCCGACAGCCGTACCAGGTGCGCCCCGCTGCCAGTCCAGCGGTGCCAAATCGAACCTCCATGAACGATTCTCGCGTGCTTCAAAGCCGGAGAAGCTCCAAGCGTCACCTCCACGATTCGCCCGTGTTGGTGGTTAAAACTCCACCCTGATCGGAATTGACCGGCGGCGGATCCCATCGCCTCACATGCGGGTTGAATCATTTCCCCCTATTAGCCCCCCCCCTACCTCCCTCCCGCCCCCGGCCTGCAGGGCGGACAAGCTGGGATTTGCTTCCAAAGTAATCGTCGCCTCCCCCGTTTCCCAGAGAAGTCTCCTGCATTTCAAGCACGCCGCGATGCAGCGGTGTGTCCCGCCGTGGGCCGAATCCATTATTCTGACGCCATTTCTCTCCGGCTGCTGCCGGCCGGGTCAACAGTAACGCAGCATGACTGCAGGGATGGATGGAATAATAGAGTTTCTTTATATTAAGAGCAACGGATTCAGAGCCACTTTCCCTGTCAGGTTTGCCATTGACTCCCTCTCTGTTTACGCAATTTGGGAAGCTCACCTTGAAAAATTGCTGCCATTATGGAACGTTAAGTCTAAGACCGAAGAATGATGCTGAAATTTGATTCCAACCGGGATTAGATCTTATTAACCATTTGAGGAATATTGTCTCTTTGAAGCAGCACCCAGTAGGCCCGAGCCGGAGGAATTTTCATGTTCCTAAAATAACTGTAAATAAGTTCCAATAAGTTGATCATGTGGACTTTTTTTTATTCTTTCAATCTTCCGAGTGTGCAGATTCATTTAGCACTGAGTGCTAAATGAATGAAGTGCAAAGCGGACACGATGCTACTAGACTTGAGGTCACATCCCTTCACAATACAGAAGGCTGAGTATATCTGACCTGAATGATACCACAAAAGTGATGCATTGTGGGTAATATTTTGGCACCAAGGCACACTTTGAGTGGTGGGTTTGAAACCTGTTTTTATGATTGCTGTGTTATCTGGCTGAAAACGTGTTCATCATTATTCATTCATTACTATTATTTCTGAAACATCAGTCCCTGCCGCCTGTTTTTATTGATACAACGAGCCACGCTGACCTTATTTCCTCAGGGAGATTATTCCTAAACGAGAACAAAACCCCAAATGTTCTATTGAAGGAATGCCTGCTTTTCCGCCCTTCTTTGTGATACTATAAAGTAATTTGATAACCTGCAAGCTGTCGCTACAGGTTCTGTTAATTGCTGGTTTGTTTGAAGCGAAACCTCGCAGCCTTTTTGTAACTGTAGCAAACAGCCTCTTCTCCTCTGGGCCCCGCGGGGCGCTTGAAGCCCCGCGTTTCACCCAGCCGACAGAGATAACCCCCCTCCCCACACACACACACACACACACACACACACTCCCCTCAGCATCATCGCCCTTTTCATCTGCTCGCCGCTACTCAGCCTGATTTCAAACAAATTCAATTTTCATCTGTTACGTGTTGATATTTGGTTCCAGACACAAGCAGAAGAAGGAGTGACGCGCGCCTTTTTGTCGTCCGAGTGACGCGAGACTTTGATGCATTCGTCCCGTCGCTCCCGGGGTTTGAATTTGACTTTGATCGCCGCATCGGGGCTCCACAACCGCCAGCCGGATCAGACTGGACGACCTTTTGAGACGGCGAGCTGCGGTCGAGTTTTGGCAGAGATGATCCGAATGTCCGCCGCAACACCAAATGGTTTGTTCCTCCTGATCTGATGGGTGTCACGCCGGTAGCACTCGACTAGACGGCTCCAGGTGCAGACCTCTACACCCTCTCCCTGTTGTGTGTGATGATGATGACACGGCCCTCCGATTCCCTTTGAACTCTCCCTGACACCCCACAGACCCCTCTGGTCTTTTTTAGCTTCGCTGAGAGGTATAAAGAGGCCGTGAGTCATTTGCTCTGCAGGTTGACCTCCGCTGCCACGGTCGCCCTCAGCCGCTCGGCGGAACGTGGCGTCTGCAGCTGATGGAGGGCGTCTCACAGCGGGGGTTGGATGTGTTGCGGGAGGCTCGGCGCTAATGGTCACACCGGGATAAGCCTGTATTGTCAGAAGCACGGGGGGCGGGAGGGGGGGGGGGATTTATGGCCACCAGGAGGGGGGGGCTGTCTTCCCTTCCCACTGTAGCAACCGGAGCCGGCGCGGCGCTCGCTCCTCCAGCAGGATGACAGAAAGGCTAATCGGGGTGTTATGGACGGTTTCACACCCCGGCTGTAAGTGGAGGCCGTTGTAGAAGAGCGCTCGGCTCCCACGCCGCCCACCGCTCCCCTCAGCCCCCCCCCAACCCCCCCCCAATCCGCTGCTCTTCACACAGACACACTTCCTCCCCTGTCGCCGTGGGTTCTTACGGGAAAGTGGCCTTTAAATACCGCGTGACGCACGAACGCTGCAGGTCAGATTGTGTGAAGTGAACTGGCGGGGACCAGTGGAGCCCCGGCTCGCGGCCGATGAGTTGTTATTTCTATTATTATTATATATATTCCTGAAACGTGGTGAAGCCGCCCTGCAGAGATGCCGGGAGGGAACATTGATCCTGTGAACGCTGGCGGTGGGGGGTGATGTTTTCCTTCTATGCGAACCTCTGAGGACCCTTCAGTTTTCATTCATTTACATGATAAGAAAAGCGAGCAGATCCGATTTTGGACCCGGTGGGACTCGCACCTCGCCGAATGCCCGCGGGCCGTTTGGCTGATAACGGAGCCCGTGGTTGTGAACGCGTGACAGCAGGTGTCGGTTTCCCTGAGCTCCTCTCCTGACCGCTGGAAACAGGCTGGCGGCTAACAAACGCCTCCCATGAGAGTAGCTTGTGACGGCCGTACTCTCTCATCCAGCTCCTTCTGGATCAATAGTTGTAAACAACGTCTTGGCGCGCAGAGTCTCCTTTTGTGATGTTCCCATCCCTCCCGTGTTCGACTGACCCCGTCGGATCGGCCCCCGGGACAGCGAGCGTCCGCCACCGGGCTTCCCAAATAAGGTTCTCTCAAAGCATGAGGGGCGGAATGAAAGAGATGATTTCATTTTTATTGCGACGGAGAAATATTTGAAACCCCAGCTGGTGGATCACAACCGCCAACGAAAGAACAGGGAGAAGAACGCACGCCGGCAGCACATTTACAACCAATTTCATCAGAGCACGGATGGATAAAAGAGGAAATAAGGGAGGAGCAACGCTGCCCTTCCTCTTCCTCCTCCTCCGCCTCCGGTTGGACTCCTGTTAGTTTTGTAGTTGGCTTAAAGGTGCCGCTGTCTTGTTTTCCTGTAACACCGCTGGTCCTCGGGGGTCAGCTCTTAATGTGATGCTCCTACACTCCTCCTCCTCCCCCCGCCAGACGTCTCCACCTCTTTTTCTGCCCGTCTCTCCTTTTTCATCTCTCTGCGTGTGTCTCCTTCTCTCTCCTCACCGCGCTGAATGCTGTGAACAG